GGATTATTAGTACCGAATGAAAATAATAATTAATATATTTATGGAAAAAATAAAACAAAACCTTATTATTAAAGAACTCTGCCACAATATAACATGATTTCCAAGATTAAATACTCGTTTTTACTAACAGTTAAATAATATTATTGGGTAGCATTATTTTCTCCTGTTTTCGGGAGTCATTGTATAAGCTCCCTTTTGAGGTTATTGAATAATTTCCATTGTTTATTTCAAATGTAACAATCTTTTATAAAATCTGTCAAATACTTACCATAATTCGACAAGTTGAAATATTTCCTAATTTATAATTTTTTTTTTTTTTTATAAATAAATTACCAAATAAATTACCAATTTATCACTAATCAATAAGGGTTAAACAATTGGCGAATCAGATCATTACACGCTTTGTCAATCAATTAATCAATCATCTAAACCAATTATGTTGAATCACACGCGATTTATTATTATATTCTCTCGTGGCAAAGAACCTTGCATCAAATATATTAATATTCAAAAGAATTACATGATGTAAATTATGTAAATTTAGTTTCCAAGAAAAAAATATCTCATGGACATATTAATTTAAGCTAAACTTTATATAATTATTAATAAACTTTATTATGGAACATCCGTTTCATTTCCGGTTAAACCCTTTAGATATTTTTGTCATAAGATCATTAAAAATCCTTTGTTATTAAGTCTATTGTTCTTATTTTAAAAAAATATTATCCTTAAAAAGGTAACACAATGCACCCGCAGTATTGAAAAAACAACATGTTATTGCAGGTGTCACCTTTTACTCTTTTTTTATCAGCCACACAATATCAAACAATCATGATATATTAATAAAAATCGTACATATGTCAAATTTTTCAAGCGCAGTAAAAAATAATTTAAAATATCTAATTATGGTATTAAAGAAGAGATAGACAAAAATGACGCGTTTTTTTTTTTTTCATTTCAAATTTTTTTTTTTGGATTCAAAAAGGTTTTTTTTTTATATTTATTATTATTAATAAAGATCCCTGCATAATAAATAACAAATGATCTCTTAGTGAAGTTACCATATTTAGAAATCACATTTGAAAAATGTTGTACAAGCCTCCCGTTCAATTGTATTTGGTATGATATATATGATGTAATTGAAAATAATTTCCTAATTTCTTTTTGGTTTAACATATCAATTTGGTAAATCCCCCACCCATTTTAAACATGATATAATTATTTTTTTTATTTTTAACTTGTTTAACTTGTTTGATATCATATTGTCCGTACTACCATTTTGAAAATTTTTGGTAATTTCTTTTTTTGAAAGAAAAAAAAATGTAAACACAAAGATCAACAATTTGAAATTTCAAAAAATTTATGTATTTTTTTAAAAAATTTTTTTTTTTATTTTATTTTTATTTTATTTTTACCCTTTTTTTTTTTTATTTTTATTTCTAATAATATTTTTTTTCATGTGAGGCAAATTGTTTTTTTTTTTTTTTATTCAATCCCAAAGGAATCCAATTTTGAATTTGATTTTCTAATAGAAAAAAATTATGAAATCATATTAAAAGCCAACGGGCATAAGTAACAAAGGGTATGCACATCCTATTGTTCAAAATAATCATAAATGTATTATCGAATAATTTTGTGTTAAATACTGCGGAAACTGCGGAACCTTAATATAAATTATATTTTTATATAGTGTGTCCGGTATATATATATTTATATATATATTCAACATCATTTTTATATATTCATATATTCAACATATCATTTATATATCATTTACATCATATCATTATATCATTTATATATATACAACATCCCATACACATCATATATATAATATAATACACAACACCATCATTTACTACTACTATATGTACATACATATGTACACTTTAATTATTTATATTGCAAATTTAATAAAAGATATTCCGTCACTCATAATCACCAATCTTTTTTAAAAAACCTTGTCATTTCTGGATTAATGTAAATGCGCGAGACATCCTAATGTATAATAATATAGATAATACAGTATGAATGCACATGCGTCTTTTGTTGATTTTCACAATAAGATATTAATAACAATTTTTCCTAATGATTCCTTTGTTTAAAAAAAAAATAAAAAAAAAAAAAAATTTTTTTTTTTTTTTTTTTTAATTGAGCATTTCTTTATAGAAAACGACTCCTGATAGTCCAGATTCCAAATGAATATTTCGGTTTTTGTTTTACCGAACATAAATTACAAAGGGAGAGAAGAGTTTCAGCCTGCTATTGAATCAAAGAATAAAAACATTCGTATCACTTTGGTAAGCATTGAAAATCTTTTGAGAAGGATTATCAGATTATTTAAAAAAAGATAACGAGTAACAATAGTAATAGTAAATAGTAACACCTTTTCGCCAAATTGACACAAATTACTACTAAAGGAATTATTCTAAATATATGCCGCGTGTTATATATTATAAATGGCTTAATTTTATTACATTACAGATACACGCCCAAAAATCAATTACAATGGCCATAAATTATTTTTTTAATGATCTTGATTTAATAAGGTTTAAACTCCTCTAATATTATTATTTTACGTTATCATATTACTATATTAAGTGATTATTGTCGGATCAATCTCGGACTAGTTTGTAATAGATTAGAAAAGATAATAGTCGGTAAAGAAAATTAGTTAATTCGGAGACATAATTGATTGGTTTCAAAAAAAAGATTGTTATAAAAAGATAGATTGTTATAAAAGATTGTTATTTTTTTATAGTTGTATTTTATAGTTATATTTGTTATATCAATCTTTTTTTGATCACCTTTTGGATCGCACATTTTACACACATTTACACATTTCATTTACATTTTTAATCACATTAAACATATTTTTTTCATATATTATACATATTTTTACATTTATTGCACATTAAACCACATTTTTAGAACAACATTTCACATACGCTAAACCGTACATTTGAAACTATGATATAAATTCTTTGTCACGTATGATTCATTTTTTTTTTTTTATTATGCAGTACTCGTAAACTTTTCCGAAACAAATACCTTGCATCTTTGAACATGGTACATTTTAAATACAATTTTGGGTCTTTATTCTGGGTTTCTTTTTTTGAATTAACGTTACTTTTTCTTTTTGTTACACAATTTTATAATTAAAATCAGCATCTACTATTTTTTTTCCCACTAGATGCATATACTATACCATACTTAATTTATGGTTATTTTAAAGTACGTACATATTATTTATTTTAGATTTTCACGTACATAAAAGGATTCATAAAAGAAAAAAAAAAAAAAAATATGAA